GGTCCTTCGAGGCGAGTCACTGAGATGTGGGATAAGGATAAGGAGGCACGCAATAAGGAGGGGGAATCTTGTAACATCCCTTATAGGATGCTAAGTATAAAAGAATGATGTACAAATTTTACAACAAGTTCTCGTCCAAATTTTTTTATTTAAAAATACAGAAGCAAATCATAAACATGTCATATGTTCGTACACCAAATTAAAATAAATATTAATTGTCTTTTACAATACCAACATCAACACACTTAAGGAAAACACTTTAAATTAAAAAGAAACCCCGACAAATTTTATTCCCCGTCTCTCTTGTCAAGCTATTTCAAGCCAGCTTCATCTGCAATACCATCTACTCTCATACAAGTACGATCATCACAGGTGAAAACCACAACCATAAACATGCATGGGTGAGCAACAAGAAATATCATATTATATAATACAACAGAAACACATCATACACATACCACAACAATTCATAAAATCATATTTCTAATTGAAACATATCATCACAATTCGCCCTTTCATAAACCAATATCATTTCCTTGTGTTTTGGTCTTCATAACTTGTTCTCAATAACAGTTGATTGTCCTTTGGCGGACCAATTGTTCCTTGCATTTCGTCATCACAACCTGCTCTCAATAGTAGGCGATTCGAGTTGACCTCAAGGATTAACAAGTAAAAACACTGATATTACGTGCATCAGTGCACTATACTCAGCACGAGCCGAAGTCATGGGCGAGACATTCACCTCCTTGCGCCGAACGGAGTGACACTCGAATCTTTATTCTCTTGCGAGACTAAAATTTATAATCGTATCAAAATGCTCACACGTTCAATGAAATTACAAGCAAATAACATAGTTTACGTATACGACACCAACAAACTTAATTAACCATGCTCAATAACAAACTCATACATGTTCTCAATAACATGTATCAATCGACTAAAGTAAGCCAACAAAATAATCGTGCTCAATCACGAATTCATACATGTTCTCATTAACATGTATATGCAAAAGCGTAGGCCAACAAAATAACCAACAATGTTTAACACCTCTTTCATAAGTCACTACTCTACATATAATAATTTTATCCCATAGTAAAATAAAATTTACTATCTCACCCGTGTGGGCCCTATGTGGGTCCACAAATTTCTAATTTTTCATAAATGCTAACTCTTCCCACTTTTTCACATTTCCACCTTTTCTTTTCTATTTCAACTAATAAATATTCAAACACTCCATTTTTCCTCTCCTATCAAACTTAACTTAACCCCTTTCTCTTTCTTACTTCTGGTCTGCACTCATTCATCCTTCTCTTCCCCTAAACGGAAGAAAAACCCTCATATTTTGCGTCAATGCCCAAGTACTCATGTAAAATATAATGTTGTCAACTCTGACCTTTCCTTATTATTTTTCTCATAACTCTTTGTACACATGTTTTAAACCTTGAAAAGAGATTTAATTTTTATTGCTCATAACTCTGAATGAGTTGATTCTTTTTTTTATTGGAAACTAGACTTAAAGAGATTTAATTTGACTACTCATACACATGTTTTAAACCTTGAGAAGGGTCTCAATTAAATCGGGGAGATTGCAAAGTTGTAGGGAGTGCCCGAGCGCCCTTTCTAGGCGTTGAGCGCCCAATTCCAGAGAGTAGGGCATTGAGCGCCACTATCCCAATGTCGAGCGCTATCTGCTAGGCTCTAGGCCCCCTTTTTGGGGCGTTGGGTGTCTGGTTTCCAGAGAGCAGGGCGCTGAGCACCAGAACCCCAACGTTGAGCATCAACTTTGCAGGTTTTGACAATTCTGGTTTTCAGTTCGCAAACTCGATCAGGAAGGGTTCCCTGATGGCCTAGAGGCGCTCTACTACTCATAGGAGGGCTTAAAAGGCTGCCATAACTCATGGGAAACTCACTTACTACTCTTGAGTTCTTTTTCTTCTTCTTTCATGGTCCTTTGGTCTCACTTTTTTCATTTTGTTTCCATTCTTTTAGCTTCTTTAGTAAACTTCATGCAAAACCACAACTATATTCTCTATAAAACAAAGATCAATCTTCTACCCCAAAACTTATAAACTAACAATCATCACCACCCATTCTAACACTCTCATATACTCACTCATCTCTTCCACTAACAAGAAGAGAAAACTCACTCCCTCACACTCCACACACTCTATATTTAGAGTGAAGGAATGTACCCCACATGCAATCCATAAAAACATAACAAGAAGAGCTTCAAACATAACAAAGAACACAACATATATATTCAAACGTTAACACAACAAAGAACCAAAAACATGCACTCTTTCACATCCACCACAAGCTTGGAAATACCCATGATACATACTTTTCAAGCTATACTATCAAAAACTCATTCAAGCACCCATCATGCATATATAATATAGCTTTAAAAAAAGCCCCACCCTTCACAAAACATATACCCATGGTTCCTCTTAACATACAACAACAAAATATAAACTCATGCAAACACCAACAATATTCATGCATGTTAGAAAATGAAACCAACCCCCACCCTATGCAAAACATATTTCATAATATACCCCATGCAAAATATTTATTAAAGTTATACCTCATGCAAAACATACATTAAATTTATACCCAAGCACATATATGAAAGTTATACCCCATGCAAAAAATATAACAAAGTTACTCCATGCAAAACATATATCAAAGCTACTACCCTTACCTCTAGTTGCAGAGAATTTTTCAAGGGGTTCCTTGATGCTAAAGCTCCTCTCTTCTTGTTCCTCTAGTCTTTGCTTCTCACTCACACCTCACTTATGATAAGAGAATTTGGTTCTTTAATTTTTTTTTCTAAGGGTAACTAAGACTACAAAGGTGAAAATGATGTTTTAAAGAGTAACCACAATTCCTATGGTGGTTATTTTGGAGCCTACAAGGAGACAAGTGAGCCCTTCTCAAGAGAACCAAAAGTCTTGACCAAAGACTTTCATTCACTACCAACCAAAAATGCATCATTCAATGAAGGAGTAGGAAACAATAAGACCAAAAGAGAGCCAAAGGAAAACAATGCACCCAAACACTCTGTCAATTTCCCGTGACAAGCAAAACAAAACTTTCTCATGATTTTTCTCCCTCTAGAGCCAATATTATTAAAAGCACACAATCATATTAGAGCAAAGAAATTACAAATCAATCACATACACCCCACTAAACTATGTTTTCTTTTTAATACAATCACATGTAATGAAAAACAAAGGAAGCTTTAGAGTTTGAAGCAATTCATGTGCCCATGGACAACACTTCACACAAAATTTTATCTCTTTCCTACATCATGTGGGTCTCATAAGTCTACTAATCATAAAAATGGAGAAATGGAGCTAAGAAATGCCTTGGATAGGAATTGAACCCATGGCCTCTAAACTCCTTGCACATGCACTCACTACTACACCCACTACAAAAAAAATCTTGTTTAGAGGGAGTTATTTTGGAGAGGGTATAAAAAACCCCCTCAAATTAACACAACTTAATATGTTTAATTTAAATTATTTAACTGACAATGTTTGTGGGAGTTTTAATTCCTTTTAAGAGAGGTTTATAACCTCCTCAAATAATAATATATTTTTTTTCTTCATTTACTAATTCTTTTACATTTTTCCCTCTAAAAATTTTACTTTAAGTTTTCTTTTAACAATCCTAAAATTTTATTCCCTTCATATCTTAAACCCATCTACCTAAACCCAATATTTTCGTCTAATTTTTGATTCAATTTCTCCCTTCCACTGAACCCTAAAATCAGTTCCCCCCCTTAATTCCATCCGCAAAATCATTCCATCTGATTTCTCCCTCGCAGGTACGCAATCTTCCTTTCTTCCTTCTTCTATTTCCTGTTGTCATTCATTTCTTTCATTTCTCCTTTGGATTGCCCGTGTTTCCTTTTCCTTTCAGATTCGTAGTCGGTGGACGAAGCTGCAACGGGGGTTCTGCGGACCGGCAGACAGCGGNTTGTTTAGATTATGAATCCAGAAACAATAAATTCAATGTCTACTGACTTGAAGTTTCTAGCACGAGGTCCATTGGATAATGCTAGAAGATTTACTGCTTACAACATCAATGGGTTCAAATTTCGAACATTGACTCGTGATGAGGGATTGAGAACACAAAATAGTGGTGTCTTTTTAACATCTAATACAGCTTGTGTTTCAAGTACTGTTGATAGGAACTTAAGGCAAGCAGACTTATCCTATTATGGAAAGTTGGAGGATATTATTGAGCTTAATTATTATGGTCGATTCAAAGTTGTTCTTTTCAAGTGTAAGTGGGTAGATACTACAAGAGAGAGAGGATATAAAAAGGATCAATGGAATTTTAATTGTGTTAACTTTGATAGACTTATTCATATTGGAAACCGTGAAGAACATGAACCTTATATTGAGGCATCTCAAGCACAAATGGTATATTATGTTGATGATGTGGTTAATGAAGGATGGAGTGTTGCTGTGCATTTAAAGCCAAGAGATTTGTATGAAATGGGAGAAGAGGTACAAGAAGAGTTATATGAAAACGAACCATACCAAGATCAAGAGTTGGAAAAATTTTATAGTAATGACAATGAATATGTTCAATTGGCTACAAACCATTTAGACGAGGATATCAATTAGTCAAATGTATGAGTTGAAAATATAATTAATAGTCATTTATTATTTTCAATGCATGTATAATTCACTCATGCTTGATTTCTTAAAGGTAAATGATATGTACCACATGTTTGATTTCTCAGTTTCAGGTTAAGAAGGAGAAGTTACCTTTCTGAATTGTGACTCTTTATTAGCTTGTTCACTCATTTGGAAAGGTAATAAGATCCGAACTCATTTATATGTGTGATGTATTTGGCTGGATGGCATAGATTATTAGGCGTAGGGTAGATATAATTTATTAGGCATTGCCAGAGAGCTTTCTGAAATTTATGACTAGGACACCACTGAAACAAATATGATTCATTTTTATGTGTGTATACGTAGGTAGCCATTTCCATCCGTTGTGATGTTCTTTCCTTCTTTTTCTCTGTTTTTCTTAATGTACAGGGAACATATAGCACCCAGATCTTCTCATTGGCTGTCCTTTTGTCTAGCATGTTTATTTATAACCAGGTTGGGTTATCTTATAAAATCTTATATTTACGTATAATTGAGTGTGCTTTTACTTCTGCATACTTTTTGATTTTGATAATTTAGTGACCAGTTTGTTGATCCACTCGTGAAGATACAAATTCATTCCCTATTTTCTCTTTTGTAGATGGGTGGTATCGATGAGGCTGCTCTTGATGGACTTTCTCTTGTCACTCAGATGACAAAGCACATTCGTGTTAGAGCATCTGGAGGGAGGAGTTCGGTGTCTGAACTGGGTCAATTTTCCCCTATTTTTGTCTGGCTTCTTAGAGTGAGTTGCTTACAAACCTTTTGTCATTGTTTCACCTCATATTTTGGGAAACTTGAAATTCTTAATTTCTGACCGTGTGTCCTTATGTCATTTTAGCCTACTTCTGTTATCTAGTTTCAGTCTTTACCTTATTTCTCTTTCCTCTTGCTCGCAGGACTTTTATTTGGACCTAGTAGAAGATAACAGAAAAATAACACCCCCTGACTATCTGGAAATTGCTTTGAGGCCTGTCCAAGGGAGTGGAAGAGATATAACTGCCAAGAATGAGGCATCTTTCTACTTCCTTTTTTTTTATTAATTTTCTTCAGGAATTATTAATGACTTACAAGGCTTACCTGTCTGAACATGATCCTTAAATAAATTGGAAATACTTGGCTTGGTATGAAATGAAATTAGTAGAGACATGCAAAGGATGAATAATTTTATTGAATGCTTAAGAATAGAAGAAATATTTTTCTCCTTCACAAAGGGTTTCTGCTTTCTTACGAACTTTCTGATTATCTGAATGAAATGAATCTATCAGTTCAAGATTTAGTTTTGATGAATTACTAGAGCAAAAAATGCACTCAGCAGGACATATGCTTTATATACATTTCAGAAATAATTTCATTTATGTAGAGTAAATGTATGGTTAGTGGAATCTTATGAGGACAATATAAGCAATATTCATGAATCTCAATATTCATGAATCTAGACTTTAGTGCAGCAATTCCCAATGGATAAAGACCTGTTTCCAATCTTTTTTTAATCACATGAATCATATTTGTTTGGTATTTAATAATTTTAGAAAAAAATTAAATTTATTTAATTTTGAAATTGAAAAAAAAAATTAATGGAAATAGATAGTTATTATATATTTTAATAATCATCAAACAAAAAACGATATTATATATTTTAATAATCATTAAACAAAAAAGTGACAAAAATATAAAGGAGGTTAAAAACCCCCCTCAAAATAATAGTCAGTAATAGAGGAGGTTTTTACCCTCCGCCGAAAAACCCTCGCAAATTGAATATATAGAGGAGGTTTTTACCCTCCGTAGAAAAACCCCCGCAAATTGAATATGATACCAGGGGGCAAAAAAAACCCCCGCAGATAATTTGTGGCGACTCAAACTGCGGGGGTTTGAAAAACCTCCGGAATTTATTTAGCGGAGGGTAAAAACCCCCGCAAATTGAAAATAAAACCCCCTCTAAATAAGCTTTTTTTTGTAGTGACCTTTCCCTTTTTGTTCATAATATAGTGCAAACTTACTACTTAACCCTTATTTCATGCATTTTTCAAAAATTATTATAAAACTAACATTAATAAATTTTTATTCACTTTCTTAACACATTTTACACACCAATACAAACCATAATTAATTATTGAATACCACAAATTATAAAAATAAAATAGAAAGATATTTTTATTTTCTACAGGTCTTACAAATCCAACCCCAAGAATTCTAAGGAACAAACTATAGTGATTATGTCCACCAGAACGACCCTAATTATTGTGATTACAATCGGACCTAGAATGCTTGTTTGAGTAATGGTTGGATTGCTACTTTTAGGAGTGGTCAGTGTCCCATGGGGCTAAAGTATGCATGTGATGTGAGAAGCAATGGTTTGTATCTTCCCTAAACTAGATTCCTTGAGATTCAGGATAAAACATTGCGATTCAAGATAAAACGGGCTTGAAGGAAGGAAGGCAAAGGGTTGCTTTGACATATTAAGGTGACTACACCGCAAAAGGACTTAAACAAATTAGAGACTAGTTGTAGTACCAAACGATGATTGCTAACAAAAGCATCAGCATTCTTCTATTGATCAAAGATTTGTTTGAGTCATTGACAGTATGAAAAAACATTCAGAAAGTTATCTATGTAAGTGGAAGAGAATCCTACTCGAGAGAAAGAACACGAGAATTTTGGTTATTCACAAAAATGGCAACTAAATGATTATTGGTAGCCATAGTTGTGGATCCTTTCTCCATGACAGTGGCAATGAGATCAAAAGAAATGGTAGTGTAGACCCACTAAAGTATAGTAGAATCAAGAATGGTCCACTATTCGTGATTAGCATCGATTGGAATCAAACGTTCCTTCCCTTATTAAGGGATGATATGGTGAATAAATCTAGTAGCCCGAGCATGAGTTTCAAAATGTTCAACCCACATAGCATAATGGTCATTCTCCATGTCCAACATAAAAGGGATGTTATTTTTTATATTAGTGCTTATGAGTGTTGGGCGAAATTGAGGTTTACCCAAAGAAGAGGAGCCAAAATCGAAGTTAGTTGAAGACATGGTGTCGAAGATAGGACACAGGTGTATGACTGAAAGAAAAGGCAACAACTGGCTAGTAAGTGGTCTTGCGTGGTTAGTGGAACTAAGGAACAACATGGGATGACTGCTAAAAGAGGAAGGGCAACAAACAAGTTGGAGAAGGAAGGGAATGAGAGTGCAGAAATAGGTTGTTGGTGGAGGAAAGGTGCGATGGGGATTAGGAACAGCGACAACACAAAAGAGAGCCTTGGAATGGAAGACAGTGCAGAAAAGAGAAGAAGAGCATGGCATTAGAGATAGGTAAAGTATGATCTAAATCAGGTATGTAAAAGAGATTTAATAACCTAATTATAAAAATTTGATTAGCTTAATTACAGGAGGTTAGTTGCTCATTGGCCGAATTTTAGAAGAATAATTTGGATTTTGTCAATATCACTCAATTGACTTAGAATCAAAAGATTGACGTCGTTTGTGAAGACAAAAATTCCCCTGACACATTGGGGGATTTGTTCCAGTACATCCAATAGTCTTACATTACTTAAGAGTCAAGCCAAATCTATTTAGATTTTTTTTTTCCTTCAACCCTCCAAAATGTATTTTGAAGACAAAATTGTTACAAAGTTCCAAGCTTCAAATCCAACAATATCTTGTCAGAATTGAGCACTAACGTAAATTATACCTTATCCTTCCATGGAGTGGAATAGATAATTAATGAAAGTAAAAGTAACAAAACGGTGGAAATAATATGAAAGATGTGATGAATGACAACTACCCCAAACCAGAGTTGCTAGTTAATAATATTTTTTGATTAGTGATAAAACCTTAACAATAATTAGTCAAGAATGTACTTTGATTAATTAATTTTTAACATGGTTAGAAAGTAAATAATAGATATGATTAAACATAATAGAATTTAATTCAATAATTTACTTTGGTTGAATTTATTATAAATATTTAAAGAAATCTTATTTTTAATTGAGAATTTATTTTGGTCAATAGTAAGATCTCATAAAAAAATTAGAATTTACTTTAATTAATTTGAAATAAAAAAATAATAATTAATTGAACAATAATAATGTAAATAATTGACGATAAATTTAGTTTAAAAGAAAAGAGAAATTAATCCGTTTCATTAATTGTTTTAAAGTTTAATATTAATTTGTTATTTCATTAGATTCACATTTATATCGATATTAATTCCACTAGGATAAGTTTTTACTTTTACTGTTTTTAGTGTTTGTATTGTATTTTATTAACATTTTATATGTAATTTTACAAAAATCAATTATTAAAAATCAATTTTATATTCTTTATAATACGACTAAAAGTTAACTTAACTTTATTTAATTTGTTAACTACATGATAATAAAGAAGTTATCTTAATTTAATAGTGGTACTTTAATACTGTCAACTACATCACATTAGCTTAAAAAACGAAAAGTATCATCTTGTATTCAAATGGTGTTAATAAGAAAATATATCTGATTACCCAAATGATTCACCAGACTGAAACCAGCCTTTTCATTACATATAAAATTGACTCTAGATTTTTGTCACGAGTATTATCAATCCTGTTTATTGAGACAATGTCGGTTTATGGTAGATATGTTTGGTCATTATTTAAATAGGTGAATTTTATATATTGTAACATCAATAATCACCTATGTCAGCTTTCATGTATAATATATTGTAACAAGCAAATAGTAACTTAAAATCTTGCTTTTATTAATTATAAATATCCTGCTAACAACTACTATTTTTAGGATTTAATTTCTAATTTCATATTTTCCATAATTAGAGTTACGGTTAAACGCAGTTTAGTTTAGTATTTTACACATTTGATATGCGGCATACTAATCTATATAAACTGATTCCTAAAAGTGTGGTTTACAAATAGGTTTATTCTAAGTTGTAACTTTAAAAGCATCTATAAATACACATACACACAAAAATAAAATAAAATAAAACTTTGCAGGCCAATATAACACCTATGGTACTTTTAAGAACCAAACTGAACATTAACCTATTTTTAGCTACTTACCACACAAATGTAAGTTGATATATTTTCCTTCACATTAGGATAAAAAGTTACAAAGAATCACAAAAGTTCGAAAATAAATAAAACAAGACTCGGTATTCTAGATTCCCAGAAAAACAGTGTCAGCTACAACAGTAACCTGTTATACATCTCTAAGTGTACTGTTTTCGTTAGTACAGGCATAAAATATTAAATGTGAACTACACAACGCATTAAAAGGTTCTCTTGCCTTCTTTCACCATGCTCTCTGTTGTGACTCAAGGACAAAGAGCATCATGCTAGGTGCCTCAAACACTTCATTCCAGTTCAAGTAATCATACTAGTATTGTATAATATCAATAATCAATGAATAGAAGCTTTTTCTCAATAACTCAATCCATCACTATGCTGATCTTTCTACAAGTGTTCATCAACTACCATAGTGTCACCAAATTACAATACCAACAATATGATAAGAAAAGAAAGGGTTTTACTGCTGCCAACCATACTGTTGGTTGCGGTTACCCCCCATCATGTTTGAACCACGTCCTGCTGCTGATCCACCATAAGGAGCACCTTGAGGATAATTTGGAGCTCCAACACCATAGCCACTACCACCCCCACCACGAGGACCGCCACTGGAACCACCAGGCATACCACTTGAACCATAAGATGCACCCCGTCCTTGGGGAGGATACGGCCCACTGCCATAACTACCACCTCCTCCTCCTTGACCTCCACGATTTGGGTGATTGTATCCCCCACCAGGGTTTCCACCAGGAGGATATCGTCCAGGCCCACCAGAGGGACCTCGAGGCTTCCCATAATGATGGCTAGACCCAGCCGTAACTCCTGGTTGAGACCCGTGAATAGGGTGGTTAGGACCTTGCCGCATTTGAGGGTGCTGTTGTCCAGCCTGCTGAATAGGGGGCAGGCGTGAATGCTGTTGAGGATGCTGCATTTTAAGACGCTTGGCATTTTCTTCATTTTGTCGTTGCTGCTGGCGCTTTTTCTTGGTTTGGAACTCATGAGATGACTCATATTTGGGTAAACTAAGGCAAACACAGAAGTAATAGTGAGTTGAAAAACAAACAACTGTAAATGATTGTTGATAGAAGCAACACACGTAAATGGGAAACACATGATACAATGTCAGCAACCAAATCTCGAAAAGCAATAACAAACGAAAACAAATAAAAGTGAATATAATATATTCTTTGATTTCTGAAAATCTGACAGTAAATGCAAAAGGGAAAAAGTCCCCAGTGCCCCCAGAGCTCAGCTCCTACAGAGAAAAAGAGAGTTCTCTCCCAAACAGAAAATGATTCTTCCAAAAAGATTGGTCTCTATCATGGGAGGCCATACCTCTTAGGATCACATGGTAATGGATCAGTCCAGAAGTATTCACCATCGAGCGCATCCTTCGCAGTAATTCTC